AGTTGCGAAATATTACGAGCCCGATATCAGATAGAGATCACCGCCATCATCATGGGTGTCATTATGGAAGGTCGAGTATAAAAAATTAGAAACATTTCTGAACAACATTCTGTTGCTTGTGTTGTTCTTGTTGTTTGTTGGCCTTTTGTTTTTGCGCCGAAGCCAAAACCATAGCCAAATAATGATTTGTTTTTGTGTGTTTCGTTCCCAAGGCTTACGTGGCGTATGAGTAATTTGTTGTCTGTTTATTGAATTTAAATAGCGTTGCTTCCCAATTGTTGTTAATTGGCAACGGCGGCGAAAACATGGTGAAAAATATGAAATATAATGAAGCTGACAACAGAAGAAGCACATTAAAGAGGGGTGGGTGAGAGGGAAAATCCGCTAAAAGACCCCGACGAGACACGCAAAAAGGAAATCTGCGTCCAAAGTGGGGACTTGTTGTCAGCAAATAACAAAAACAAAAACAAAAAAACGCAAAACAAGAGACAGCAAAAACAAACAACGTGCAACGTGCAACAACAGGCGGCAAACAAAATGTGCAATTTTTTTGGTGCCTCCACTTCACTTAGCAACATTGTTGCAGCCAACAGACGGGCCCAGGGGGGCTGGCGGTGCATGGATGCAGTTGCAGGCGGCTCAATGGAAATGTATGAATTGCATTTGCTAAATGCAAAAAAAGAGAAGCCAACGGCAGACTTCAGACTGTAAAAAACGCAACAGTAACAGCAAAAATAAAGAGAAAAAAGCACAAAAATGCTGCGCCTGCGCTAGCGGCAGAAAGTGAAAGATGATCGCGATTGCAGGCAAAGAAATCAGGACAGATGAGGGGGGTTTAAGGGGGGTTGGGGGCTGAAGACAGAGGACAGACACCAGAGGGGCGAGCGGTAAGACGCATATGTACGATAGGTGCAAGACATATCACACAATGGGAGCGTGAGTTGGCAAAATATTTACTGTAGTTTTTTCATACCTTAGCCGTAGGGGTACTTGGAATTTTTATTAAATATACATATATATATATATATATTATATATATCATCCCTCCTTATGATCAATATTGTAAGTCGAAAAATCTTATTTCTATTAACAGGTTTAAATATTTGCTATTATTTCTATAACGTGCTAAATATTAAATAAGACTTTCGTGAGATAATACTTTGGTTTATAGGGTATCAGATAGTTTAATACCTAAGAAAACAGCCTATCCCTCTAGTTTTTCCCCCTAGTTCCACCTAACCATTGACTACATATGGTTTGTATATGATTCATATATGGGCAGGAGAGAAAGATGGCTTGAGATAGGCATTCGGTGTGCTAATGACTTCGATGATTTGCAATTGTAGTCTCGCTCGAGGGCTGCCAACTCGACTCAATTTGTTCGGGAACAGAGACAGAGACAGCAACAGAAACAGAAACCGAAACGAACACGGAAAGCGGAAAACGGAGGCCGTAGCATCATTAAGTCGTAACTTAAGGGAGGGGAGGATCAGGAGGCGGGTTAAGCAGAATTAAAATAAATAAAAACTTCAAGTTTGAGCGCTTAAGTTGTTTGTTCCCCTCTCTTTTTCTATCTCCTTACACCCGTCTCCGCCTCTTGAGCATAATTCAACTGCAACATTGTTGCAAATGCAGACAGACATAATGAAGGAGCCGGAGCCGGAGCTGTAGGTGCCGCCGGGGCTTAAGACTTGATGGGCAGAGCGAGAGTTTTGTGTCATGCGGCTGCTAATAGATCTGGCAAACACAGTGTGAAAAGGAACCGAACGAGCCCCTAGGAGGTAGCAGGGGCACCTCTGCTCCGGCTCCGGCTGCTGCTGCCACTTTGACGAGTTCCTGTTAAACTCATTTCGTACGTCTTCTCGTGCAGTTTAATGACTCCAAAAGTTGGAAGTTCTTGTAAAGATGATGATTAACAGAGCAGAGCACAGTGCGGCAAACAATGATGATGACACAGGGAGGCGGGGGAAGAAAAACCAGCAGAAGACACACCATCAACCACTTTTGAATTCTTCTTGATGACTTTTAACCAAGTCCTTGGAAGAACAGATCTTTCCCAGGCTTATTTAATTACTTTAATTTTAAATACGATATTTTGTAATACTTTAATCGATATCGTTATGACATTTTTTATTTAGAAATTTTTCTCTTTAACGGAAGGATAGACTTAATAGCCATTTGAGACAACAGTCGTAAATTGTGTGATTTTTTAAATACTGCCAAAACTTGATTATTTAAGATTTAGGCAGTAGTACTTTTCCTCCCTCTTTCCCTCCTGGAAAATCCTTTCCAAGAAAAGTTCTTTACGATGGTTATTTATCGATAAGCTCTACAGGCGGACACAGGCGGCAGTGGCCACCCAAGCAGAGTTTTCCACTGTGAAAAAAGTGTACGAGATTTATACACTCTCCCCGTGCACACGACGGGGAACCCCCCTAAAGCCACGCCAAAACTTCGCCCCCCAAACCCCTTGCCATACCGATCTATCCACGGCTGACGAGCCAAGGAAAACAATTCATATTTTCTCCTCATTTTGGGGGCTGGCGTTGCAATATTTTTTATGCATTTTACAAACGGCTGGGGGGAGAGAGGGGAAAAGCGGATTTTGCTTGGCCAGAAAGATAATGGGGAAGTGGAAGGCAGCGGGGCTTGGGGCAGGCGCTCGTGGACGAGCGGTAATCGAGCATACAAGTGCATTAAGCACCAGACAATTATGTTGCGGCAACATTGTTGCAGTCAAGCGCCGCCGTCGCCTCCGTTGCCACCATCGTTGTCAGCCACGCCCACCCACCACTACTCCCTCCTCGCGTCCACCTCTGCCTCCCCTCACCGCTTTCCTCAACAAAGCAAAAAAAAAAACAAAATCAACGAAATTTTTCCTTTTGTTTTTTGGTATGTGAGTGTTTTTTCTGCATGCGCAATTTAAATTTAGTCAGCTGGAAAATTTTATGAGGCCGAAGTCATAAGAAGCGGCTAAAACAAGGGGCAACTAGAGAGGGGGTGGAGCTGGGTGGTAAATGGGGAAAAGTCCACAGTGGGCGGGGACTTCATTAGCGTGACTGTTTACGAGAAGAGAGATACTAACTACCAGATGTTAGTTAGTTAGTTGAATGAGACTTAAATCTGTGGCATTTAAAGCAGATAACAAGGTGCCTTCAAAATTGTATTTAATATTTAAGATTTATGATAATTTAGGTTAAGTTAATTTAGAAGGTTAGGATAATTTAGAAGGTTATTTGGCTTGCTAGTCGATGGCTCTACTACGTACGACATATTCCCTATATTCTATGCATTCATAAATCCTGCCAAGAGAAAGTTTCTCCTAAAATAAATTTATTTAATAATTTACACTTTGTACTTAATAAATTAAAAGTCCTATAAACAGCTATTTACTGAGGGTTATCTTAGAAATTTTTGCTTAATGCTAAAGGCCTGTCCAAGAAATGTCCAACAAATTTTTACGATCTGCCATCAAAATGTTAATTAAAATGTTAACAGGAATGCCACCACCACCAGCGTCACCACCCAGGCCTTGCATTGCAGGATAATCAAAAACCAATATCAGAGCTGATACACCCCCAAACTCTGGCTTCCCTCCCCCCATCTCCTTTTGGCGTTAATGCTGCGTCATCATTTGATATTCATGAGGAAGTCGGAAAATTTCCAACACCAGAAAAGCGGAATCAGAAAGGAGGGCTCAGAGAGGACTCGGGGCTAGGAATTCGTTCGACACTCGCAGTCACGTCCTGGCGAACCTGCAGTGCAAAATTTAAATAAATGCTCGCGTTGTCCCCTCTTGCCCTTTATATTCCAGCACAAACACACTGTGCACTTGAAAAAAGAACGGGTAAAATGTATCCTTTTAAGTAAAAACTTGTTGCAGTGATTTGGATTTATAGTTCAAGGCTTTATCTATAAAGCAAGTGCTTTGATTAAATTAAAAAAATAAGCATTAATAATCTAAAGTCCCTAGAAGGGAAAAGAAAAAAAACGTACATATCTAATCAATAATGACAGCTTTCTTTCACGACAAAAGAATGTATCATATTAACTCAAATTTCGCAATAATATTTTTTCTGTGTACACCCACATATTTTTCCAGTTTTTTTTCGAAGCATTTCCCCCACTTTTCCGCGCTTTTTCCACCTTCCCGTTCTCCCTCCTTGACCGAGTGAGCGCGAGTCCATTAGCAGGAGAGTCCACAGTCCAGAGTCCAGAGAGCAACTCGCCTGGCCATAATCACCTTGTTTGTCGGCCGGAACACCTTTAATGGCAACGGCGGTGGAGATTCCGTGGCTGGGTTTGGGGTCGGGGTCTGAAGATGTCGTTACGGCGGATAATCATTGTCAGGACGAACTCTGAAGCGAGGATTTCCCGGGGGCAGCGGGCAACGGAGAGTGGAGGACGAAGAACGGTGCCATCAAATAAACGTAATTCAATGCACATAATGACAACAACATTTCCATTTTTGACTCCACGCGATTTTCCGACCTGACTTTTCCGACCGCCAACAGCTGGGCTTAGAGGGTCTTTGTTGGTATTTGCATATGGCCAATTGGGCAATGTCAACAGAAGGCGTGGGCGGAGGCGAAAAAAGCTCATCGAAGTCGAAAGTCCGCAAAAAGATGATTACGAATACCGAACGGTCAACTGAGGGGTGTGAAATTAGGGAAAGATATTAGGCGGAATGTCGGGGGGTGACTCTAAGCCCATAATTCAGATAAATGCCAGGATTGGTAGGATAATAATTAAAGATCAGGTAAGTGGGCCTTTTAAAACAAGTTTGGGCACCTTTAAAAGAGACGGATTTATGTTTAGTTATTCAACATAATGATACGTTGCACCAAGACAAAAGAAGCAAGGACGATATATGTATGTATTTTGAACCCTTTTTGCTGCATCCTGATTTTACCCTTAAAGAAACCTCTAGATTTACATAAATATTCACCCATTGAATTTCTAGAACTTTCCCTATCCCATTAAACCCCGTTCTACGTAAGTGGTGTTGGAGTAAAACTTTATTTCTGGATTTTTTCTGTTGGATTTGGTAACGTTACAAATATGGCGAAAAGTCTCTATTGAACTACGCTCTAAACATTGATGTATTATAGGTTCGGTAACGATGTGTGTGTGTGGTGTTAATCGAGTGTGTGGTGTGGTGTGGAGTAAGACTTACGCACTAATTCGAGTTGCTTCACTTGGGAGTTAAGTGGGACTTTATCGTGTAAATGGGGGGGAAAGGAAAATTTTGCAACTGCAAAATGCAAAAAAACGCAGTCGATAACTGTGTTGGCCGCATCCTTGAACCATTTCATTTTCACTCGCAGTCAGGCACTCGCACACACACACACTCCGCACACTCTGAACACTCACACGACAACTGAAAACGTTGCACATACGACCCGTATGCACGCTAGTTGTTTGGCCTTCTCCTCATGCTCCACATTTTCCTCCTTCTCCTTCTCCTCATGGCAACATTTTCCCATTTTCCATTTAGCACTCGCTTCACTCCCTCACTCTTGGTCGATTTTGGATGCAGCCAAGTGTTATGCAACTGCTTAAAGGACTTTATCGTGTGATTTCTTTGGTGATTTGCGTTGTTTGAGTTGTGATTTGTTGTGTGTGTCGTAGTGCAGCGCAGCTTCATTCTCCCTCAGATTCCGATTCCGACTCCGCCTCCTTAGAGCAGGTAGCATTTCCGCCTCCAGCAGGAGCAGGTGCAGTGCCCATGGCGATAGTAGCGACACAGGCACTTGAGATACTTGTATCCGGCGCAGCAGTGATGGGAATGCGAGTGCGAGTGCGAGTGATAGTGGCTGTAGCAGGAGCTGTCGTGCAGACAGTAGGAATAGCAGCCGCAGTCGCACATGTTGTCAGTAGTTTGGTGATGATGCTAGTCCTGATGTTAGTCCTGGTTTTTTTGTATCGATTCAGATATAGCTGTATCCGTAATGCCTTCTAGCTCCTTGGCTCGCTGCTGCCCAACTGATTTCTGGCCAACGCTTTGCCTTTCGACTTGGCTTAGGTTAGGTTCCGGGCCTCCAATCGGAATGTTGCCGTTGCCCGGGACAACCAACGTTTGATCGATCCTCCTCCGGCGGCGGCGGAGATACTACATTTGCGTATTTGGGTGGCCAACATTCGTACCACGAACCGGATCGTGTTCCTACGTGTATCCGTATATGGGTTAGCATTGTTGTTGTTATGGCAATTCAAGTTGAAATCATGTCAATTGATTTCTGGTAGGCACTCCGTGCTTTGTTCAGGTCCCTACGTTCCTATTTTGTGTGGTTTATTATGCCACGAGTTAGTGGCGGGTACTGGGAATCTAATTGAACCAAAATTTGGCTTGTAGGAAGGGGTTTTATGTTTACGGTGTTACCCTGCAGGAGAATATTGAGGAAGAAGGTCTTAGGCTTAATTAAACAAGTATTTTTAAATATTTTTCATGGGAGAATTTGAGTAAATCAACTATATTTGTAACTAAAACCAAACTAAAGTCACAATAACATGATAATAAAAGACGTCTTAAGGTATATGTGAACAGGTCAAACCCTTTAAACTTGCACATCTTACATTGCTTTTTCCATAATTATTATCAAATATTTACTCAAAAATACAATTTCCAGGGCATGTGCTTGTCTATAATACCCTCCCCCCTACTTACTTTTTGCCTGGCACCGCGCGCACTCAACTCTCGAGCCGTATGATTAATTCGCAATGTTGTCGCTGATTTTATGACCGAAATATTTGGGTATATTTTTGTGCATTAGCTGCCGTCGCTGTCGGCCCCGAAAATAGATTTTGGCCAAATGCAAATTCATGCCTGACCCACATTGGCGGCGGCTGGCATTAGTCACCAACATCGCCATCACCATGATGGGATCTTTGGGTGCCAACTGTGTGTGTTGCAATCTGCAACAATCGATGACACATGGCTGGCGATGGTGAGTGCACACAAACCTGACGTCATTGTGGCCACCACACGGCGTATACGTCACCTTGTTTATGCGTTCAGGCTGAGATCAGCTGTAGGGGACAACCTGCACCGCATGATGATGTCATCATCATCATCGTCATTCTCAGGGGCGATCATTAGAGTGCTGTGCTGATGATGGGCGCTGTGTGTGTTTACCCTTGCTCAAAAACAGCTGCTAATTGCCAACTCCAATTTGGATACGCGTTAAACAATCAGGAAATGTTTTACTCGATCACTTAGCACGGTGATCATTAGTCTGAGAACGAGAGTAACTGACTGCCACAGGTTGGTAGTGAGCAGTCCGAGTTGGGGTAACAAATGAATGGTAGAAAACAAGGCCCCAAAAGCTCAATGGTCTATGAAAAGAGCATAAGGTTTTAACGTCACTGACTGGAAATTAATACAAGTGAAATTATTATGAGACTTTTAGATTAGTTATTTACATACTACATTTATTATCCATATATTTGTGCAACTGAATAACGAAACTAGATTGCAGTAACGTGATCACTAAAAAAAAACCCCCGGCTATAGTGCTGACTCAGATATTTACATGCATGTCAAGAGTGTTTCTCATACGATCTCAATAAGAAATCCCCCCAGCTGTGGTGGTTCCCCGATAATTTGCACACATGCGTGTTGCTTATCAGTTATCTCTCCTTTCATGATTATTTTTTGGGGGTAAAGCAGCAGCAGCAGCAGCAGCCGTTTAACCCTTGTTTAGGGTCCAATTAAAGTCGTGAGGACACACGTAACGCGGTTTTAATGTCAGGGACAGCGCAGTCTGTTTTTCAAGTGTCCTTGTGGCGCTTAAAAAATAAAGTCCGCACACACGTATGCCCCCAGCCCGATGGCGAAAAGTTTTGTCAGCCAGCCAAACCTGGTTAAAAACGAAAGGGCATTGGTTTGGGGTTTGAGTTTGAGTTCTTCGGGTTGCAAGTGCACACGGTTTTGCAGCAGTTTTCCAGCAATGCTCAGAGTTCAAGTTGTTTCAAGTAACACTCGAAGGACAACGGGGCGGACAAATAGCGGACCCTATGTGGACAAGCTGAGGAAAGAATCGCAGGTCCTTGAGCGAGTGGCAAATAATGGTGTTGCGTGTCGTTTTTGCCACAAAACGATGATGATAACCGAACGACACATAGCAAACGACAGGCAACTCTGCCAAAAAAAAAAAAAGAAACAGAAAATAACAACCAGAAACGAGAGAAAAACGCGCAAAAAATGGCAAAAATAATGCACCAGGCGATGCAAGAAAATAAACTTCTTCCGGGGGCAAGTTCTGCGCGGAATCTCTCCCCCCTCGCGAAAACGCGAAAAGCGTCACTGACACTTAAATTAAATTTGTTTCCATTCCAGCAGGCGACACTTTCGGTTTGGGTTTCGGGCTTCGGGCTCAAGTCGAAGTTTGGGTTCAGTTTTTGGGGTCCCAGCAGCAGTTTGGTTTTTCGGTTCGCCTTTTGGGGCCAAAGAAAGAACCGAGACCAAGACCAAGAAAAGCAGTTTTGCTATAAAATAAATTAAAAGGAAAGCCAAGCAAATTGAACTTTAACTTTAATAATTCTCTGAGTAAAGAGACGACTGAGGCATAATGTCATACAAAATAAGGATCTATTGATTATGAAACAGGTTTGGAGACCTATTTAGCTTAATTAAAGCTTTAGAATAAGATAGAAAAACTGAATCTAACGAATATTTCACAAAAAATGATCGAAGGCTTTTAAAAATAGCAAGTATTAAATGCTAACATAAAAAATAAATATAAATCCAATTAAAAAAGACAGAAAAACAATTAAAAACTCATATGTATATATTTATAAATTTTCCCTCGTTTATGTCTCCCGTTGTCCTATCTTCGCTTTAATCTCTCGCATGTTTTCATCCTTGTATAAACATCGTTCTCGTCACTCTGGTCACCACCTTCCTCCTGTTCTCCTCTTTTCCTCTTTTGTTCCATCTGGCAGACGCTAAAGTCACCGCAAATGTTGCAACAGTTTAAGTTGTTGTTGTTGCTGCTGCTGCTGCTGCTGCCGCATCTGTGCGTGTGGATGGGTGTATAGGGGGTGTGCGGGTGTGCCACTGAAATGCCTCACAACATCGGTGGCAACAACATCAGAGCAGGAGCATTCCATGTCCATGTCCATGTCCATCCGATTCTCCTCCACGGCCATATTCTGCTCGACTGCGGAAGGGAAACGCAACTGAACCGAATGTGGAATGGTGTTTATACACTTGACAAACGATTTCATACATTTTTTAATTCAAATTTGTACAGATTAAATAAGAGTCTTTTTTGAGGCTGCAACCAAACACATAAATAATCTTCAAAAATGATTCTCATTTTAATGACAGATTACTGGATCGTAGTCCAGGATCATTAGGAATAAAAAGGATATTAATATGAAATTAGAGATAATATCTCTTTATATATAGAGAACTTTGTTTCCGTGCAGCCTAGGTTCAGGGATGGATTTCCTCTCGTTTGGTTCGCTACAGAGTTCGGTTTCGGTGCAAAATTCTTGTTTTCTCGCATTTATTGTTTTTCGGCCCGGACCAGAGGCGTTGGCTGTCGAAGGGGGGTGTGAGAGTCAGGGCAGCGCAAAAGCCGCCGCAGCCAAACAAACACATTTCAATCAAAATGCCCGACAGACAGGGACAGAGGGACAGGGCCGCCGTGGCTCATATGTGGGTGGCCCCGAAAAGGGGGAATGCGCTGTGTTGTGCTGCAGAAGGGGGCGAAACCAACATAACTGTTGCTGGACGGGGGCCATTGCCGCAACTGCCACAAAGTGGCACTTGCCAGGTTTTTGACAGAAGTTGGCTTGCCACATGCCAACGCAGGTTGCAGGCTGCAAGAGCAGCTTGATTTCGGCGGGAATCGAAATAAAGACATCGCCAGGACTCAATGCAACTTTGTTCCATTTTCTTCCGAAAATCAGCGGAGGTTGACAGCTCCAAAATTTGCAGCAATGCAACAATAGTTTGTGGAAAGACCAGAGGTAGAGTTGGAGACGCGAGGGAAGCGATTAATTTGATAGCTAATGCATTTGCATTATGTATTTGTTTAATGTTGTTAACTTTAATTTACAAACAATTAAATATAACATGATTTCTGTTAACCTTACTTTCAACATCACCAGATTATAAAAGGAAGAGCTTTGACTTTAAAAGCTCTTGAGATCCTTCTACAGAAATAAAACCTTAATTATTTAAACCAATTTAAATAAAATTAAATTCGCGTGGTTCGGTTTTCACATTCCTTGCATTAAGTATACTTTTGCCCCAAGCATTTAATTCCCCTTAATGTAGTTTTTTTTATTATTTGGCTTGCAACATTCCCTTAGCAAGAATGCCAAAAAATGCATTTACCCATTCAGTCACGCCATTTTGCTTCCCGAAAAAATAAAACAGAGCGAAAAACAAACAGAAAATGGTGGAAATTTGTAGAACAACGTCATTAGGGGAACCGAACAGCAAACCGTTTGCCTTCGTTTATTGTTGATACCATTTCTTCATCGTCTCTTTTTGTTCTTTCCTTTTTTTTTTGCTTAATTTATTTTCATGTTTTAATTTTGACCATCCCCACTTACCCCGCCCCCCTATTCGTTTTATTATTTAATTTAACCAAAAATGTCCACGACACCTCGAGAATTCCAGCGAAATGCGGGCCACCGCATGCCACATGCGGCATTAAGTGCGGAGGATCTCCCTGTCTTTCCCCCCTTTTATTCTGAGCCCATTTCCATTTCCACTTTGCATTCGCCGACTCTGGGCCTGGGCCTGGGCCTGGGCTGCATGTGGCACGCAAGAAGTCATTAAAAAGCACTAAAAACGCAACACTCGTAAAAACAAGCCAGGTCCCGACCCGCTTTCATCCTCCACCTCCTTCTCCTCCTCCTTGGAGGCAGTGGATGATGCAGCAGGCTATAAACAAGAACAACAATCCAAAGGGGCAAGTGCAGAGAACGGAGCCAGAGAATGACAACAATTTTTGACACACACAAACAAAATTCGATACTAGAAAGATATCTGGGAAAAATACAGGGTATCGAGCAGAAAGTTATTTAGGGAGAAATAATGAATTTATAGGGACTCAATTGAGATGAAGTCTGTAAGCCATCATAAACTGCTTATCGATTTACTTAATTCCCTTACAACCTAATTATCGGCAAATGATCGATTATCAACTGTCGCTTTTCTCAGTGCAGAGCCTAGTTTAAAGTATGCAAGTAAACTAAAACGTGATTCCCCCCAACTCTAGTGGCCTTTTCCCTCTCCCTCTGAAGGCTCCAC